CCTTCACCAAATTCCCAATTACCCTGGACAACGACCATAACATCATCAACTCGTTTTCCAGAACTGGAAAGCATAGTTATCAGCTGATGGTCGACATCTTTGGCCCTAAGGAAGAAACGCCCGTGCCGACCAGAAGACTTAGCCAAGGCATAACAAATAACAATGCCAGATGGCTGGAATGCCAAGGTTAATTCTTAGGCGATGGTTGAGCACTATAACCCCCATTATGACTCTAAAGAAATTCACATTAGGTTGGGAAGGGATTAAACCCCAATGTCGAAGCACAGCCCTAAGAAACGGGTGAAGGGGGAAACGGACTCCACCATCTGTAATTGACAAAATAGGAAAGACAATCGTGGTTTCATCCTCCATCTCCATATCAAGAGTGTCGTCTGCCACAAGCGACAAACGGACATCGTCAGGAATGGAGAAATGGCGTCTAAAGCCAGTAATACGATCTGACGAGAGGAGGTCTTTTAAATGTTTCGCCGTATCCTAGTCTATGAGAATATGCCAAGGAAGGAATAAATCAGAAAGAGTCCTCGAAGCAAGGGAGGAGAGAACTTACAAAGGACGAAAAGGATATCGGAGGAGAGTTTCGGGGACGATCCAGAAGGCGATCCAGCGATAAGCATCATAAAATATGTACTGGAAAGGACCTCAAAATTTTAAATCGCAACAAATAGACATGTACGAGGGGGCGGGGAGTCAACACGACAATCAAAAGGGGTGCGCTTAGATGTCCGCAAGAGGATGAGGCCAACTGCCGAATTTTGGCTCCGACTTTTAGGAATTCAAAACCAAGCACTCCAGCCAACTGTCATCGGTGAAATGCTTAGGGGGCAATTATGGGAGCCGAATAAATAGAAGATTTGGAGGATGCGTGCTCCAAAAATTAGATACTATCTGGCTTCATATTGCGTGACCAGGACGCCGAATACATGAGTCAAGCCGAATAGATGGAGATCAGTAGCTCCGAATGAAAGAAAGGGCAATGATAAAAAAGTAGGCCCTGGCCCCGAGGATCAAAAAGAACAGGTATAAATACAGGAACAACGGTTGTAGAAAGGTATGTAAGAATCACTTCACAAAACTAGTAAATAGGCTATCCTGAGCATCTGAACTAACTTGTCCGTCGGAGTGCTAATTCCGGCACCCCCGACCGGAGTGCTTGTATCTTTTCAGGTGACTAGCTGAGGATCACTAGCGTCTCCCAGGATTCGAAGAGTATTTCCAAACCACTTTCCCACATGCTATAATCAGTGAGAGGCTTAATTTTTAGTTCAGAACTGATTGCCATTCGGATTTGAAAAAAGAAAAAAACAAACAAACAAACAAACAAACAAACAAACTCATTTTATTTATAGGGATTAATCCCGATCAAATTTGTACAAACATATATACAAAAAAAAAAAGAAAAAAAAATAACAAACAAAAAGAAAATAACAAAAAAAAAAACCAAAAAAAAAAAGGGATCTTTTTCTTCTTTATTCTTCGGTAGCAGCTCGGTGGCGAAGATTACAACCGGCTTCATTTGTACACAGCTTCGTTGCCCGACTTTACCATCAGTTGCCTTACTTCATCTTTACTCCTTCGAAACTCTTGAAGACTCTACCTCGGCCTTGGTAGAGCTTCCGAAGGAGAAACTCCGAATTAAGCCACGGAGGTGACCTGTCGTTTCAGCTCTTTGTTCTGCTTTTTCAATGCACTAATTTCTACTCGAGCGTCTTTGTACATACGTTGGAGGAAAGAGAGTTGTGCATTTAACTGATGTACCTCACATGTCCTGTTCTGCAGTCGACGGGACAAGTTGGAGACCGCAGTCACGGTCTCTACACATGACCTCAACATATACGAGTTTGCTTTGATGTCAAACTGTGCCGTCATTATTTGTTCAACTAACATCGCTGGAAAGCTGAAAACAAGGGAAGGAAGAGGAGCCCGTAGTTAAGGTTCAAAGGAGTCAAAATCGGTCATCTCTATCGTGGACTCATTCAGGTCTGAAACAAGAGTGAGAGAACCGTGTGAAGAAGCCATGGCAAAGAAGAGTAATGCAAAAGAAAGAGGTTGCAAAGTGGTGGCAGAGAAAGTTTACAGGCTTTTACTCTGCCTCTCTTTTTCGCAGGCCTCAACTTAAGAAGAGAACGAAGAAGAAGACAAAGAGGGAGAAAGGCCGAGACGATCATTGACAATCGGGGCAGGATTGGATAGCCTGTCGGTCAGGCGCCGCGATTGTTGAAATCATGCGCCAGACACGATGCTCGAAGAAGATGAAGGAAGAAAGAGTGAGACAAAAACAAAGAGAGACGCGAGAGAGTTGTATATGTATATATATATATGTGTATATGTATTGTACATCTATGTATTATATATATTTGTTTGAATATTTAGTCACAAGAGTGGCTTGGGCTCAATGGTTCGACTCAATGGTTAAGAATTGAGGGGCTGAGCTTGTGGTGAGGGGTTCGAGCCCCCATAGTATCGAGTGTTTCTTTTGTTTTGTTTTGGTTTTATGTATATATGTCTCGTATACCTGTATATAGATTTATTTGAATATTTTGTCACAAAAGTGGTTTGGCTCAGTGGTTGAGGACTCGAAAAAGCCTGAGTCAGAGGTTCGAACCCCTTTGTCTCCTGAAAACAGTCAGAATAGAAAGTTCAGCTATGGTTATGCAAGCTCCCTTGGAAAAAGGTCTACAATGGAAGATTTTTATGAGACAAGAATTGATGGTGTGGATGGAGAGATAGTTGGTCTCTTTGGAGTTTTTGATGGTGTGTATTTCTCTCTCTCTCTGCCATCCACGTAACCTTTGGTTTCTTTGAAGAAATAATGATTATGGCTTCATCATAGAAAGGTCAATTTTTGCACTTTTAATAGCCATTCATTTTTTTTTTTTTTTTTTTGTAGATGTTTCCCCAGTTTCATTTTGTCGAAGTATTATAATAGCAGTTAGTTTGCTTTATCCATCTGAACATAGGTTTCATTGATTTTTTATTTTGTAGAGATAGATGACTTCCTTTAGGTAGTTGTGTACCTTTATTTAGTTTTTATTCTAACGTTTCACGAAAATCTGGAATGGATGTCTTTTATATGCTAATAAGCACATTATGACTTCCTTCGAGCTCGAAAAGGTTTTCTTTCATTTGTCTATACACCAATCTTCTATTGCTTGCATTAGTTGAGTGGATACTAAATTGACAAGTTGGGTATTCAGTATTTGGCAGTTGTGGGATTGTATGAGAGCCAAGAGGAAGCAGTTAGTACAGAGGAAGTTAATAAATTTATTTTAACAAGTTGAATTTGTTGAATTTGAATTTGTAGTTTAACTTTGTAATTTGAATTTGAATTTGTTAAAAGTTAAATTACAAGAAGTTAAATTACAGAAAGTTAGAAAGTTAATAAAGTTAGAAAGTTAGAAGGTTGTTAACTGCTAAATTAACGAAGAAAGAAAGTTTGAAGAAAGTTGGAAAGTTGTCGCAGGGAGAAACACCATATGTTGTTAACTGCTAAATTATAGAGAGAAAGTTGAGAAGCATTTGATTCCATGTGGGAAAAATATGAAACTTAGAGGAAATGGGTTATATTGGCATTTTGGAATTATTATGAGTAATTTTAAACTTTATGACTTTAGAGATTTGAGTAAAAATTCAGGTAGTCCTCCAAAATTATAACTCATATACCCTTAGTTAGTTTCCTTTTATTTAATTTGTTCTTTATTACTTTCTAATTTTTCCTTGATACATTAAATTCATTTATAGAGTTCCAAAATACATTACTTTTTGAATTAAAAGTAAGTATAATATACTTCTTTTCCAGCTTTAAAGCTAAGTGATTAGATAAGACTGACGCTTTACTTAAAATACCTATAGAATGTAATCTAAATGTAGACCAAGACTAAGATTAGGTTAATTTCCAAACATGCTATTCCAAGTTTGGTCTTACAATGCTCAATTTGGGTCTAAAGTGCTTCTCTAATAGTTATATCTTATACTTGAGATTTCATAAGGTAACATAGATTTGAAATAAAAAGCCCCAATTTAGATTCAATTTAAATGGGCTTCATTTTTTAAATGGGTGTTTATTTCAGTTTGATTCTTGACATGGTTTTGATTTATGAAATGTTTAATTCTTTTATGGGAAATGGGTGCCAATTCATGAAATGGGTCCTAAATACTTTTGAGCTTCCTAAATACTGATTCTTTCTGTGTTTTTCTATTCTTTTTTTCTTTATTTGGGAGTGGGAATTGGTAAGCTGTGATAAAAAATAAATATAGTTTCAGCATTGCCTATTACTTTTTTAAGACCCTGTAAACAATTGTCCCCTTACTGTATGTTGTTCATTTGTTGTTTTATCCATTGAATTTTATCCTGTACTATGGTATAATATATTATAAAATATCTATACTATATAATTTTAATCTATGGTATAATCTATATAATAAGGCAAAAAGGTTTTTGAAAAATGTATCAAAATGTATGTGAGATACATTTTGATCCAATGGCTTAAATTACTTCATCTAAATTTCAATGGTTAGGATGTCTTTGAGCATCAGCGGTCCAAAATGTAATGGTCCAAAACTCTCCTCTCTGTCTGTCACAGGTACTCATCTTCTCTCTCTCTCATTTCAATTTTTGAACTCTCTCTTTCTATTTCTCTCTCTCTCTCTCTCTCTCTCTCTCTCTCTCTCTCTCTACCGTACGACGACCACCAACCACCTCTCCTCATTGCGACGACCACAGACCATCGCGATGCCGACACCACCGACTGCCTCCTTTCCTCTCACCCTCCTCTTTCGGTTTGGTGGGTTTGGTTGTTTCTGATTTCTGACATGTGGGTTGATCTTCCAACTTAAATGGATTGATTACCATAATGGGTGCTCCGGCTGAGTCATGGTGGAGAAGTCAAGGCCGACGGGAATTGCGATTGACGGCGGAGATCATGGACGCCGGAGATCTACGGCGGAGGACGGTGAAGAGATTTATGGAAGATCTTGGATCTGTTGATGATGCGATAAGGCATGTGGTTCAGGAGGTCAAGTTATAATCATTCAAGGAAGGTCGGGAGGGTTTGGATTCATCTATCAACGAGCTTCTTCTTCTTGGAATGCAAGGGTGAATTTCTCGCTTTTGATTGTTTGAATGTGTGTTTTATTTTTATTTATTTTACTTCTGTTTGATTTTTGTGGAAATATAGGAAAATTAGAAGAAAATGTTTATTACATATCGAGCTGTTTCATTCTTCGTTGTTTGGATCAAGAATGCCAAAAAAATTCCATTTGAATGAGTAGAGTGCAATACCACTATGCTGTATATCTCTGTTAACCTTGAAACCGAATTTCATTTTTTTCCCTTCGGGAGCTTGCATATAGTCAGTGACAGGGCAGAATGATTTATTTATTTATAATGTAATCAACCTACCTGACATGGGGGTTGATCTTCCAACTTAAATGGATTGATCAGGCATTTTTCTGATTTTTGATTTCTTAAATGGATTTAAATTTAAATTTTTTGAAAGTTTTGGGTCTGAAATGGGTTTCATTTGTATTAAGGCTAGGAGGATTTGGTGAATATTTAAATGGACAACGAATCGAGCAGTGACAACGAATCGAGCAGTGATATAGACCCGAAACCTGAAAAGGGTTTCACTTGATAGTCCAGTGTATAAATGGGTTTCACTTGATTTTGTGGGTTTGAAGAACATGTGGATTTTCCTTATAAAACAGTGAATGAAAGGAAACCTGATTTCACCTGATAAAACAGTGATTGATCAAGTGTATGAAACAGTGATTGAAAAACAGTGAAGAAATACCAAGTGAAACCCATTTATTCTATATACAAAAAGGAACCCATTTATTCCATTTGTAGCTCTGTTTTTGTATAAATTTAAGTTTCTTAATAGGAAAATCAAGTGAATGAAAGGAAAACAGTGAAGAACATTAAATTTAATGAAACTCATTTATTCCATTTGTAGCTCTGTTTTTGTATAAATTTAAGTTTCTTAATAGGAAAATCAAGTGAATGAAAGGAAAACAGTGAAGAACATTAAATTTAATGAAACTCATTTATTCCATTTGTAGCTCTGTTTTTGTATAAATTTAAGTTTCTTAATAGGAAAATCAAGTGAATGAAAGGAAAACAGTGAAGAACATTAAATTTAATGAAACTCATTTATTCCATTTGTAGCTCTGTTTTTGTATATATTCTAATGATCAATCACTGTTTTTTAATCATTGAATCATAGTTTGAAGAACACAAAAACAGAACTGAAGCAACAAAAACAGAGCTACAAATTAATGTTGCAATGATGGAGATTGGCCCACTGATTCACCTAAAATGCCGTTCTAATTTTGATAAATTCCACAATTTTGTAGGTATGGTATTAATAATCATAGGTATTTTAAATGCCGTTCTAGCGTATGCCCGCAAAAGGGAACAATGGTGGATTTCATGTAGGAGCTTCATTTTGACTTATCTTCTAATTATTTGTCACTTCATATTAGATTGAGAAAGAAACTAATTTCTATTGTAAAGTACTTTCATTTTTTGCTTCCTCCTTATCTCTTGCATGAATTAGACAAAGGAAGTGGATGATTTTGAACTTCCTTTTCTCATCTATCAATGAGAAGTGATGGGACTTTGCAGAGGATACAATGCTGATGAATAAATTGCTGAAAAGCATCTTTCTAAGACTTTATTTTGCAAAAAACATCTTTATCTACCTCCTTTTCTTACTGGATCAATCACAAAATTGTTATGGCATGCAGATTTCTCTAAAGGATGGCATTTGTGCCAACTTGAGGTCTTGGAATGCAAGAAGGTTGCATGGCCGAACTCTGTAACTGAAGAGAAGTATTGTGTTGAGGACTGTGGGTGGCCTTTAAAAGAGTTTGCATATGAGTGCAAAATAAACCTTTTGACAGGTCGAACGCATCAGGTACTTTATTTGTGTCTTTTTTGGTTTGTTTGATGTTGTTTCCCTCATCTATAGCAATCACAAGCTATGATATTTAGAATTGCAGCGTGTGTTTGTGACCATTATTTTTATCATATCTGGTTTGTGGCGGTGAAGAATTATAAGTGGTTTCAATTTGCTCGACTTTTTTTTTATCAGTTTTATTAATGAATCAAATTAAGAAAATGAAGAACTTCACTTCAAAGTTGTTTCTTCTCGGTTGTCAAAATAGCACACACTCTTGGTTGTTGCACAGTACTAGAATAAATATCATAGTCAAAAAGAACAATTAGCATGATCAGCTATAAAAGCAAGAATGCATAAAAGATAAAGCTCACATTTCACACAGAGTAAGCACTCACAGTTTGTTTGGAACACGTAACTGCCCATTTGACTGACAAATAGAATCGTAGGACAAAAAATTAAGACCAGCTGAAGATGGGAAATATAATAATCAAAGAACAGAATAATAACCAAGATAGCTCACCTTCCAAAGATAACATTGAAGCCAGCTATTCTTACTTCCACAAGTGCATCAAAAGTCCCAGTTATATTGTATCATAGTTGTCAATTCAAGAAACAAAATCCTAATAGTGGAATTGTGAATCGAATTGAATCAAGAATCGTAAGATTACACATCAACTAAAAAAAATGATGATAGACAATTATATTTATTGAAAAACAAATTCCATATGTCACAGTGCTATGAAAGTAACAACACCAACTAATTTGAAAAATATTACCTTTATCAACAGGACATGTGGATCTAAATCCCACCAACAATAAAATTATTTAAAAACCAAAGCGATTGGCAAATTAGACTTTACCCTGTCAGCTTAAAATTGCTAAAATTGCATGATTATTAGAAAAGTTAAGCAATGAAAGCAGTTAAGAGTCCACCATTTAAAATATTATAGAAATGTAAGTAATAGAAACACCAAAATAGTGTTTCAATAAAGAAAACATTGTTAAATAAAATAATGCAGGACTTAAGGTATTTTTGGGATGTATTGCTTTGAAAAAAAAAAGGTATTTTTGGGATGCATTACTCTGAGGCGTGCCACTAAGTGAGCCTCATAAATTCCACCCAAGTTGGTTTGATCATGTACAAAGACCAATAATACACCAGCAAGCAGTCAAGGAACATGAACTGAGGTAGTGAATAAAGCATATGATGTAAGTGAAAATAAAGCATGACGTAACAACAATAAAAAAAACAGAATAAAGCATAAAAGAAATCCATGGGGTGATTTGAATAAAGCATAACTATACACCCATGTATACATATACATACATATGTCTGCTAGGGTTTGATTCCATGGTGATAGAGGGTGTTTGATGTATCTTGAATGTGTTTAGGTATTATGTTATTTGTTGTTGGTGATTTTTTTTTGTTGATGTTGTGATCGAATTTTGTTTAAAACGATTTATTGTTGGATTTTCTTTTATAAAGGTTTAATTTTTATAGGTGGTAGTGACAATTTTTTGAGGCTTTTGTTTGGAAATGAGAGAAACTGCCACATTTTTGTAGGAAAAGTATGTTATTGTATTGTTTTTCAATTATGTTTTGATTTGCACTTTTTTTTTAGCCAGATGTTTATTGTAATTTTGATGTGAAATAGTAGAAATGCTTCTGAAAACCCAATGCATGAATAACTGCCACATTGTAATGTGATCGCTGCCTCCTTTGGGTTTGATTGGTGTGATTTGGGTTTGATATTTTTTCCCCTTCTCTCTCTGTTCTTTTTCTTCATTTCATGAATACATACATTTTTAGGGTTGTTTATAACATTCTTGGGTTTGATTGGTGCATTTTGGTTTGATATTTTTTTTCCCTTCTCTCTCTGTTCTTATTCATTTCATTAATACATACATTCGTGAATACATTGATATATTTGATGAATCTTTTTTCTCTTTGTTTCACTTTTTCAGGTTGGTGATGATATACGGATGATGATCTAAGTTAGGTTTTTTTCCAATCAATCTGTTTCGTATGAATAAAAATTTCAGCATCGACAACCACCCTCCTTTCGAACTCGCACTTGCAAGGTTCAATTTCTGTCTCTCCCCTTCTCTCTTTGTGTTTGTTTTTACCCTAATGATAATGAGTCTTTCTACAACAAAGCATGGTGCATTTCCCTTTGCAATGCATATCCTTTTTGGTTTTTTTCCTTTCTATCATGGACAATGGGATTTTTGAACCTTGATATCTGCTACAGTGGCCACAAGGCATCATTTGGCCATGAAATCCATTAGGACATCCATCTTCAGCTAACTTAATTTTGGTTGTGTTGTACAGACCTATATGTTTAAGTATGATAGTGTTTATGGTCAATGGAAAAAAATGAGCTTAAGGTTCAGGATTCTAAGACCCTTCTCTTTGGTGACAAACCTGTCACAGTCTTTGGTATGAGATATTATAAGCTGATTTTGCTATCTTTATGTTTCATTTTATTTTCAAAATGGCACCCTTTGATTATTAATAATTTATTTTTTGATTTTATTTAGGAACCCAGAGGAAATCCCATGGGGTGAAGCTGGAGCTGAATATGCTGTTGAGTCCACTGGAGTTTTTACTGATAAGGACAAAGTTGCTGCCCATTAAAAGGTTTGCCTTTATTTCTTTGCTTTATGGATTGGTATTTTGATTTGTGTGCATACTTTCTCTGATATAGTTGAAGAGATATATTTGTCTTGCTTTCATCAATATTGATTTCTGGTTCTTTTATTTTTTTAAATGGAAATGTTGCATGTTGAATCTGTTTTCTTCTTTGGCTAAAATACCAGTGCTGGTACAATGCCCCACTCATGAATTTTGACTTGACATGTTATGCTCAATTGGGCAATGTTCGTTATTTTGTTGGCTTGCAAATGTTCATGACGGCATGGTTTGTTGATAGTATTGCTCTTGATTTTTTTTTAATCACCAGGGTGGTGCAAAGAAGGTTGTCATTTCTGCTCCAAGTAAGGATGCTCCCATGTTTGTTATGGGTGTCAATGAGAAGGACTACAAGCCAGATATTGATATTGTTTCCAATGCTATCAACAAACCATTAACATTATCAATATCTAGCATTGGAAACATTATTATACCCAGTGTGTTAGTGTTTCCCTTCAATTACTATGCATTTGTCTACACCATTAACATTTATTGTACACATTATTTATTTATTTATTATTATTATTTTATGGTTAATTGATGGAATGCTTTCAATATATTTCAGGGAGGAATTTAAGGATGAGAAGATGGTTAATGTGAAGTCATTACACATCCGAAACTTTCTCTGAAGTTGAGTTTGTTGGTTAGTGCTTTGCTTTGCATTTAACAATTGTTAGGATACTCATATCCAGCAATTGTTTCTCTATCTTCTTTGATTGATATTCATTGATTACCTAGGGACCTGCCTTAAAAAGAGATGTAATCCTAGATTTAATAGTAAACCACTTGATTATCTTTTCGTCTATTGTTATTGGTCAGTTTCCAGACAAAAGAAATTTAAAAACTATGTCAATATACTGTAAGAATGCGATGGATCGCAGCCCTCTAAATCTCCATTCTCAAATTTTCATAAAATCTTAAAAAAGAGTAAATTATAAATATGCCCCTGATGTTTGTAAAATATTCTCACTCTGCGGTGTTGCCTTTGAGTCAAACTTGGTTCTAGATCATGACACAATGCAATTATACAATTGGATTTGTTGATTGAGATTTTATTTTATTTATTTGTTTTTATTTTTTGTCAGTCAAACTTGGTTCTTATGTAGTTATAATTTGATTAGCAGCAGTAGCACTAACTGGTGTGCATTTAAGTTTTAATTTCTTTTAAATTGCAGAGCACTGGCTGGTGTGCATTATTTGATATTTTAATTTTTTTTATATTTGATTTATTTGAAATTGTAGAGTACAGTCTGTTAAATATATTTTTATAAATGCAATTTCTCTGTGTGCGTTGAAATGCTCTTCAAATGGAGGTGGTGCTACTTGGATCCTCTGATTATGTGTCTCTCTCTCCTCCTTTTCTCCTCTCCAACGCACACAGAAACCCCAATTTCTCTCCCAAGGTAATTCACAGATTTATTTGGAATTGATATAGAGTACAATCTATAATTCCAAACAAATCAAATATAATACATAGGTTAAATTTTGATCTGAACCTATGTATTATTAAAACAGAACAGGTTTTGAAAAATATGTGAGATACATTTTAGATCAATGGTCTATATCAATCCTGAGAATATATCAACGACTCAGATTTATGTGGCTCCCGCCCAAACATTAGACCTCCACCCACCCACGTCTCCTCTCCTTCTATCTTTATCTCTCTCTCCCTCTCACCCACGTCTCCTCCTCATTCCCTTTTTCTCTCTCTCTCTCTCTCTCTCTCTCCCTCTCTCTCTCTTCTTCTTTCATACCCTCCCTCTTTCCCGACGCTCCTGCTCTTCAGTCTCAGCTCCGAAGGTAAGATTTCTGCCTCTTCCTGTCGTCTTTGTAATCTGAGGTTGGGTTTGATTGTTTATTTGGGTTTATCTGGGTTTATATTGATTGTTTATTTGGGTTTATCTGGGTTTATAACCTGTTTATCAAACAACTTCTGCAATTGGGGTAAATGATTTCTTTCCTGAGGTTGGGTTTGATTGTTTATTTGGGTTTATATCCATTGTTTATTTGGGTTTATTTGGGTTTATCTAGGTTTATAACCTGTTTATTTGGGAGCTTGATTTACTGTATTTGGTGCAGATTTTAAAGCTGACTTGAAATTGAACATTATAGGATTTTCAAATCGTTCAATATCAAAGTTAGAACTTTAAATCTGAACATAGTAAAACACATGTAACATATTTCACAATTGGGGAAAAAACATACTGCCCAATTTGGATGTTCAGAACTTCTGCAACTGTATTTCTTCTTTTAAGGAATCAGTAGAGACACTAAACTCTATTGTATTTGTAGCTGTCTTTGATTGATCAAGGAAATAGAAATAATTTCATATACCAAGAATGTGTATTAGTTGATGCCCATATTTAATAATTTCCTAGTTTTTTTGCATATTATTTGTGTCTATACATAGTAATTCTGCTAACTGTGTCTCTCAATCTAATTTTCTGGCTTGCTAATCAAACTGCTTCTGTGATTGGGGTAAATGATTGGCTTTTTTTTCAAACAGCTGCTTTTGCTTTTGGGTAATCTCTTTTGCCCAAAATAACCCTACATTGTTCTTCTTGCTCTGTTGGTTGTTTTGTTTCCAATTGTGCACTCTGATTTGTGAAGTGTTGATTTGTAAAGTGGTGATCAAATGTAAGGTAGATCGGTCGACGCAACCAACAAGAAAGAGATCGGTATCCTCATCTCAATCAAACCCTACTTCCCTCTATCTAAGTCCCTCCAATGTCTTCCTTCAAATCCCCACTTTCATTGGCTTCATCAGTTGATGGCAGCAGCAGCGATCGATGGGTCTGTCTCACCACCCTTCCGGTGAGATTCACGTCATTGTTGGGCCAATGTTCGCTGGAAAAAGAACAGCTCTCCTTCGTCGAGTCGAATCTGAGGGCAACAATGGCAGGTACTTTGTTGACTTTGTTAATTTCGTGAATTTGAGGGTTTTGATTTGTAAAGTTGGGGGTTCCGAGGGTTTTGAATTTGAGGGTTTTGTTAATTTCGTGCAATTTATTCTCAACACTTTTATGGTGTTATGTAGTTAAGAAATTCTGAATGTTAATTAATTGTACATGATATCAATGTGTTAATTTTATGTTGGATGCATAAAGAATTTTATTTTATTTTAACTATTATTTTGGGGCCAACCATGTAAATGTAGAAATGTTGCAATAATAAAGTCAAGCAAGGATACGAGATATGCGGTTGACTCGGTGGTGACACATGATGGGACAAAGTTTCCCTGTTGGGCGTTGCCGGATCTGTTGTCATTTAGGCAAAAATTTGGAGATGAGGCTTATGCCAAGGTATTTCAAACTTGAACCATTTGATTTGTGTTTTTTTTTTTTATAATTTTTTTTTTGGTTCAGTCTATGGTGTCCCAGTTGTTCTATGGGCTTGGTAGCTTCATAAGTTGGATGTGTTTGATATATTGTAAGTGATATTGAAGTGATGTTACTATAATCTTCGTGGTTTTATGTAAGAAGAATTTGATTGTTTCTTGTGGCTTGACATTGTACAAGTCACTTTTCTAATTATTGGTGTTGGCAAACCATATGTGAGCTAATTTAACTGGTAGACAAGTAATCTTAACTGTTTAGGCTCTCTTTATTATTTATTTTTTAAAATGTGAAACCAAATGCTATTCATGATTAACTATTTTTTTTTATTTATTTTTTTTGAGTAGAACACAACAATATAAACATTAAACTAAGCAGAATGTCTTACATCAGTATAGATGCTGACGAACGAAGTGACAATCGATCTCGATGTGTTTTGTCACTCGTGAAAGACAGTGCTATGGGCAATCTAAATAGCACTTTAGTTGTCACAGTAGAGAGAGGTTGGAGAGGATTGAGGGACGCCCAAGTCAGATAAGAGACAACGAAGTCAAACAATTTCAGTAGTAGCATAAGCCATAGCACGGTACTCAACTTCGACAACAGAATGGGCAACTACAGCTTGTTTCTTGCTTTGCCAAGAAATCAGGGAATCGTCAAGAAACAAACAGAAACCTTGAGTGGGCTTGTGATCATTAACATCACCAGCACAATCAATATCAGAATCGGCCACCAAGTCCAATGAAAAAGTAGAAGACAATAGCAAGCCCTGAAAGATAGTACCGTGAAGATAGCGAAGAATCCGAACTAAAACAGCCTAATGTTTAGAGCAAGGAGCAGAAACAAACTGGCTAACCACATGAACAACATTATCAAGATCAAGGCAAGTAACCGTCAGAGAAACTAAGCAATCCACAAGCTCTCTATATAAAGTAGGATCATCTAGAGGAACACCATCAACGGTGTTGAGTTTCACATTAAGCTCAATGGGGGTATTAGAAATCTTAGTATCAATGAGACTGGTAGAGTGAATAAACTCATTGACATACTTGGCCTAGGACAGAAAGTAGCCCTTGGGAGAAGAAACTACCTCAATACCAAGAAAATACTGCAAGGGGCCCAAATTCTTTATTTCGAAGGTTCAGAAGAGATGCAACGTGACCTCACAGATAACAGAAGAGTCAGGATCAGTGATAATCACATCATTCACATACAGTAATAGGGCAACAAAACTAGCAAAGGTGTAGAGGAGAATAAAGCAGAGTCCTGAGCACAAAGATGAAACCCAAGCTCAGCAACAGCTGTTTGAAAGCGATCATACCAAGCATGAGAAGATTACTTTAAACCATATAGAGCACACCGAAAACGACAAACTTGTCTAGAGGAATGATAAAGGCTAGGGGGAGGACGTATGTAAACCTCCTTAGTGAGATGACCATTAAGAAAAGCATTCTTAACATCTATTTAATAAATAGGCCAACGACGAATAGCACTGATAGAGATCAAAGTACGAACAATAGTCACCTTGGCAACAAAGGCAAAGGTCTCCACTTAATCAATACTATACTCTTGTGAAAAACCATTGGCAACCAGGCAAGCTTTGTAGCACTCGAGAGAACCATCATATTAAGTCTTGACTTTATAGACCCATTTGCAACCAACTAGATTCTTACCAACAGGCAAAGGAACCAACTCCCAAGTAGTAGTCTTCTGCAATGCAAATAATTCATCCTCCATAGCTCGAATCCAATTAGGATCCTAATAGGCCTCCTTATAAGACAGGGGTTCTGAAAAAAAGTGAATAGCAAACAAAAAGGTGTAGTATGAAGGTAAAAAACATGTTCTATCAAAACTAAGTTTGACTACCTGTTTATAGTTGCAAAAGGGATATTTATGGGTGGCAAGATCAGAGTCATCAGAAGTAGGAGGATCAATGGTAGGGGTAGAGAGAGCCTTGTGACAAGAATAGACTAAGAACGGAGAAGGAGAAGGAACCGGAGGGGGAACAAGAGGAGAAGAGAGAACAAACTCATGGGGGTCAGTAGATAGGTACTCAATAAGAGAGGTGGTAAGAGAAGAAGGAACAAGGTCATGGGGAATAGTAAAGATGTAGTCATCGGGAGGGACCACAGAGAAACATGGATCAATGTGAACCAAATCTTCTTTGGAAACCGGAGCTATGATAGGAGGAAGATGAAATTAAGACAAACGTTCAAGAAAGGCAACATGGTGGGAGACATAAAGGCAATGAGAAACAAGGTTGTAACATCGATAGCCTTTTTGGGTAAGATTGTAACCCAACAAGACACATAGGATAGACCGGGCACTAAGTTTGGTCCTATCTGTTAGAATAATATAATGTTTTATTTATTTGTTTTTAGCTTTGATATCATGATTGATTTAGGAAGAACAAACTTAGGGAATGATTATGATTTCATTCCCTTTTATTTATTTGTTTTTATTTTCCTTTGCTGTAATTAGCTGGTTCCTGATTTTATGCCTTAGGGCTTCCTTGTAATTAAGTTATTTGATTAATATGAACGGGAATGAAATCATTATAATTCCCTAAGTTTGTTCTTCCTAAATCAATCATGATATCAAAGCCAAAACCCTAAACCCAAAGCCACCACATAGCCACCACCCATCCAGTTTCAGCAACCCATCGTGTGTGTAGGGGTCACGACAGCAGCCAGAGGTCACCCAGGCTGAATTGCCGGCTGCCGAAGGCCACCCAGGCCTAGTCGACTGCTGCCGAAAGCCCACCAGGACCAGTCGGCAGCCCTTCTGCCCATCCGACAGTCCCTCTGTCTGTTTCGGCTCCATCAGCAGCTTCTCTGCTCTCTGTCGGCTCTTGCTGAGGTTCTTCTGAGACTCTGGTTCTGGGTATGTCTTGATTAGTTCATCTGACAGTCTGTTCTACACCTAAACAATCTTTTCTTTTCTTTGGTATAGTACAGCCCCTGCTTTGATTGGTGGTTCTTTTCTTCCTCATTTAATTCATTATATGGTCCCATTAATCTGAATATTATGCTTCCATAGTGATCAGTGCTACACATTGTTTGTTCATTCCATTCCATCCTTCCGTTTTTTGTGATTAGTGCAGTGTTCTTGGGTTAGGATCGTAGATTATACTGTGAGAATATAGAATATATTATTGTGTGCTTTGTACAAATTAGAGTCCTATTAGAGGCATGATTGTGGTAGAGTCCTGTTAGAGACATAATTGTATTTGTATTTTCTTTTTTGGTTTAGGATTTAGGGCTATATAATCTAAGGTCTGATTATAATCTTTGATACAATGGAATATACAGAAAAGCTATCAGAAATCTTACATGGTATCAGAGCCGTGTACAAAACCCTAGTCCCATCAATTGTCGACTCCAGTTCTGGTCTCTTTGGTTCGGCCTCTCTTGTGAGTGGTCCAGCATTGAATCTGATACGATTGTATTAGAATCGCATTTAGCACCTCTTTTCGCCGGAGTCGAGACCCAACCAGAGCCGGAATTGCAACTCGCGACTTGCCCATCTGGCTCATGACTCACCCATCTAGTTTGCGATCAACCCCTCTGTGTTCAACTCTGCCTTACATGATTAAAGCTCTACATTCTTGTGTATCGCGATTAGCCCCTCTGTGTTCGTCGCATCCGATACTCGCGACCCATCAAGTCATTTTGACTCGTCTGCTTATTCGACCCATCTGGTTGCTTCGTTTGGTTCGGTTGATTCAAGAGACTGACAGTTCGTGGTCTCCTTATCTACCTATAAGTCGCGATAAGTCTCTCTCTCTCTCCCTCTGTTGCTGTTTACGATTCCTCTCTTTGGTTCTGGTTTGTTGTTAGTTGACCTGGAAAAGCTTTTATTTACAATTTGCCCTCGCAGATTTTGAGCATTACACTTAAACTCTTGGTTTGGCTATTTTGTTTAATTATACTTGAACCTCTCAGTTTTCTGATTACTGTGATGTCTCTGGCTTCTGATGAGTGTGCTTTTTGCCATCAGAAAGGCCATTGAAAGTATCATTGTCCCAAGAAGAAATGTCTGTCTGCCACATCTTTTCAGCAGTCTCATAATCAATTCTGGGCTTCTCCTGCTGCGTACACTACATCCGCTCCAGCTCCTGATCCTAACTTGGCTTCCTTAACTGCTCAGATTAGTCAGCTTCAGCATATATTGTCTACCTTCCAGCTTCCCCCTCTCACTGCTCCAGTTTCCAAAGAGGATTTAGTTCACATTGACCCATTTCCTTTGGAGGTCTCGTCTGATGAGTACATCTCCACTGTTCCCCATGAGCTTGTTCCATCTTCCCCTCCTGTACCTCTAGCTGCTTCTCCTTCTTCGACTTCTTCTCTTCCTTTGGCTTTTTCTCCTCCTCCGTTGTTAATTTATTCTCGTCGCAAGGCTCCTCCTCCACCGGTTGTCTCTGCCCCTGCTGCTGCTCCCTCTGCTTCTGACGACTCTGATCCTACTGCACACCGATATCCTTCTCGAGCACGTCATCCTCCAAATAAGTTGGGTTGGTCTAATACTTGTTTTTCTGCTTCCTATCGTACCTTTTTGTCTGCTATTCACTCTTTTGTAGAACCTCAGTCTTACAAGGAGGCCTGTCAGGATCCTCATTAGGTTCAAGCTATGGAGGATAAGTTGTTTGCTTTACAAAAAACTAATACTTAGAAGTTGATTCCTTTGCCTGCTGATAAGAACCTGGTTGGTTGCAAATGGGTCTACAAAGTCAAGACTTATTCTGATGGTTCTCTTGAGCGTTACAAAGCTCGTCTGGTTGCCAAAGGGTTTCTCTCAAGAGTATGGTATTGATTATGAGGAGACATTTGCTCCTGTTGCCAAAATGACTACTGTCCGTACTTTGATCTCTGTTGCTACTGTTCGTTCTTGGCCTCTTTATCAAATGGATGTTAAGAATGCTTTTCTTAATGGCCACCTCACTGAGAAGGTGTACGTGCGTCCTCCCCCTGGCCTTCACCATCCCTCTGGTCAGGTTTGTCGTCTTCGGCGTGCTCTGTATGGTCTAAAGCAGTCTCCTTGTGCTTGGTATGATCAATTTCAAACTGCTGTTACCGAGCTCGGGTTTCATCTTTCTGCTTCCAACTCTGCTTTATTTCTGCGACATACCTCGGCTGGTTTTGTTGCTCTCTTACTCTATG